CAAAGTGCTACCAGAGCCAAGTTTATTCCATAATGGCGAACAACCTACAATCCTTTCAAGTCCCGATTCTCAACAAGAGCAACTTCGATAATTGGAGTATTAAAATGAAGGCTCTACTCCGAGCTCACGATGTGTGGGAGATTGTAGAGAACGGGTACGAGGAACCGCCGAATGAGGCAACACTATCCCAACAACAAAAGGATAGGCTAAGGGATTCAAGGAAGAGGGATAAGAAGGCTCTCTTCCTTATCTACCAAGCATTGGGAGATGACGATTTCGAGAAGATCTCAAGCGCATCCACCACGAAAGAAGCTTAGAATAAGTTACAAGTCTCGTGCAAAGACATCGAGCAAGTAAAGAAGGTACGTCTCCAAACTTTACGATGTGAATTTGAATCCCTTAATATGAAGGAATCCGAAATCTATATCAGATTATTTTACTAGAGTATTGGCGGTATCAAATCAAATGAAAAGAAATGGTGAAAAATTGGAGGATGTTAGAATAATGGAAAAAATATTGTGCTCATTAACTCCAAAATTTGAGCATATTGTTATAACAATTGAAGAGACAAAAAACTTAGAGGAGATGTGGATAGATATGCTAATGGGCTCATTACAAGCTTATGAAGAAAAACATAAAAAGAAGCAAGATATTGTAGAACAACTTGTTTAAATGCAAGTGAGCTCGAAAGAAAAGGATGAAAGGCCGAGCAACAACCGTGGTGAATATTGGAGAGGTTGTGGCCAAGGACAAGGTCGAGGCCGAGGACGTGGACGAGGTGGCTATACCAATTATGAAAAGAAAGAGTACAGTCGAGGAAGGAGTAACCAAAAATCGAGATACGATAAGTCTTCCTCAAAATGTTATAATTGTCATAAATTTGGACATTTTGCTTCCGAGTGCAGAAGCCAAAGGCTTAATATTGAAGAGAACGCGAATTTCGTAGAGAGCAAAGATGAAGCCAAAGCAAGTTTGCTTTTAGCTTACAAAGGAGAGGAAGGAAGACAAGATGACACTTGGTACCTCGATATCGGAGCGAGCAACCACATGTGTGGAAAAAGGAGTATGTTTGTGGAGCTCGACGAGTCGGTAAGTGGGAATGTCTCATTTGGTGATGATTCTAAAATTCCAATCCAAGGAATAGGAAAAATATTAATTGGTTTGAACAGTGGAGGACATGATTTTATCTCAAATGTTTACTATGTGCCCAATATGAAAAATAATATTTTGAGTTTGGGTCAACTCTTGAAGAAAGGTTATGATATTCATATGAAGGATTATAACCTTTCAATAAGAGATACCAAAAATAATTTAATTGCCAAGGTGCCAATGTCAAAAAATATAATGTTTTTATTAAACATTCAAAATGATGTGGCGAAATGTCTTAAATCATGTTATAAAGATTTATCCTGGTTGTGGCACCTTCGATATGGGCACTTGAATTTTGGAGGACTGGAGTTACTATCAAAGAAGGAGATGGTAAGAGGGCTACCGTCAATTAAGCAACCTGATCAATTGTGCGAAGGTTGTCTACTCGGGAAGCAGTCTAGGATACCATTTCCAAATGAGTCACTTTCAAGAGCTCAAAAGCCGTTGGAACTAGTTCATGCCGATATATGTGGTTCGATAGCTCCAAGCTCTCTCGGTAAAAGTAATTATTTTCTGCTTTTCATTTATTACTTTTCTAGAAAAACCTGGATTTATTTTTTGAAGCAGAAATCCGAAGCATTAGAGGCCTTCAAAGAATTTAAAGCCATGGTCGAAAAGCAGAGTGACATCAAAATTAAAGTCTTAAGAACTGATAGAGGGGGCGAGTTCATATCGAAGGAGTTCATGGAGTTCAGGCCACTGACAGTCCCAAGATCCCCCCCAGCAAAATGGTGTTGTTGAAAGGAAGAATCGCATCATTCTCGAGATGGCGAGGAGCATGCTTAAGACAAAGAATCTTCTTAATGAATTCTGGGCCGAAGCAGTTGCATGTGCAGTGTATCTCTCCAATCGATCTCCAACAAAGAGTGTTTGGGGAAAGACTCCACTAGAAGCTTGGAGCGGTGTAAAGCCCGGGATTTCTCACTTGAGAGTGTTCAGGAGCAAAGCTTATGCACATGTACCAGACGAGAAAAAAAAAAAAGCTCGACGACAAAAGCAAGGTCTTCATATTTATCGGGTATGACTCTAACTCTAAAGGATACAAGTTATATAATCCTGATACTAAACACATCGTGATAAGCCGAGATGTGGAGTTCAACGAAGAAGCAACATGGGATCTTAGTTCCAATGAGGAGTTCAGTTACATTCCACATTTTGAAGAATCAAAGATGGAGGAGCAAGTAGGAGACGTCGAGTAGTAACATGTGACTCCACCAAGCTCACCTGTGCCGAGCAATGAAGACTCGCCACCTTCTTTCTTAAATGACAGAGTCGCGCCACGTGAAAGAAGTCTTCACGAAGTCTATGAAAACACTCAAAGGTTAGAAGATTAAGCTTTTTTGTCTATTTGCTGATTGTGAACCAATAACCTTTGAGGAAGCTGAGTAAAGTGAAAAGTGGCGAAATGTGATGGATGAGGAAATCAAAGCCATCGAGAAGAATAATACGTGGGAGCTTGCAACTCTCCCTAAAGGCTACAAAGCTATTGGAGTCAAGTGGATATACAAAATAAAGAGAAATTCAAGTGGAGAAGTTGAAAGGTACAAAGCAAGACTCGTCGCAAAAGGCTACAACCAAAGAGAAGGAATCGACTATGACTAGGTATTTGCTCCAGTTGCTCGACTAGAAACTATTAGACTAATAACTTCTCTTGCAGCTCAAAATAAATGGAAGATTCATCAAATGGATGTTAAGTCGGCCTTCTTGAATGGAGATCTTGACAAAGAAATCTATATCAAGCAACCATTGGGCTACGAGGTGAAAGGCCAAGAAGATAAGGTTCTAAAATTAAGAAAGGCCCTATATGGGTTAAAGCAAGCACCGAGGGCATGGAACAAAAGGATCGATAAATACTTGGAAGAGAATGGGTTCATCAAATGTCCACATGAGCATGCCCTCTATGTCAAAGTCAAAGGTGATGATATCTTAATTGTGTGTTTGTACGTGGATGATCTTATCTTCACAGGAAATAATCCAAGGATATTTGAAGAGTTCAAGAAGGTGATGACTAAAGAGTTCGAGATGACTGACATCGGCCTCATGGCATACTATCTCGGTATAGAAGCCAAACAACTTGAGGATGAAATTTTTATCACTCAAGAAGGATATGCCAAAGAGATCCTCAAGAAGTTCAAGATGGAAAATTGCAAGCCGATTAACACACCAGCAGAGTGCGGGAACAAGTTGTCCAAGTACGATGGAGGAGAAACAGTAGATTCTACACTTTTCAAGAGTTTGGTTGGCAGTTTAAGATACTTGACATGTACAAGGTCCGATATTCTCTACGCTACAGGAGTCGTGAGTCGCTACATGGAAAATCCAACCACTACACATCTCAAGGCGGCAAAGAGAGTTCTTTGATATTTGAGAGGTACGCTCAACTATGGCCTTCTATATTCAAATACTAATAAATACGAACTTGTTGGGTATAGTGATAGCGATTGGGCTGGAGACAATGATGATCGAAAAAGTACAAGTGGCTTTGTATTCTTTATCGGTCCGATACTGCATTCACGTGGATGTCGAAGAAGCAACCCATAGTCACACTGTCAACATGTGAAGCAGAATATGTAGCCGCCACATCCACCGTTTGTCATGCAATCTGGCTAAGGAACCTGCTAAATGAGCTTGGGTGGCCACAAAAGAAGGCAACAACAATTTGTGTGGACAACAAGTCGGCAATTGCACTAGAAAAGAATCCGGTGATCCACAATTGGAGCAAACATATAGACACACGCTTCCATTACATCAGAGAATGCGTTTCAAAAAAGGAAGTTCAAGTGGAGCACGTCAAATCACAAGACCAAATCGCTGACATTTTTACCAAGCCCCTCAAGTATGAAGATTTTATAAGGCTCAGAAGTTTTCTAGGGATGACCAATCAAGTTTAAGAGGGGGTGTTGAAAATTAAACTTGATTTATAAATTATAATATTGTAAAGAATTATCTAGAATGTGGTAGATTATATATGTGTAGAATATTCTAGGAAAAGAGAATTATGACGTGTAGAATTATGTTGAATAGATTTGTGTAGAAAAATCTAAAAAAAGTGTATTATGTGGCATGGACTAGAAACTTCCACCTTGCTCCAAGATGGCCTATAAATATCCCATGTATGATGTAAAGTGAATTGATGAGAAAAAAAAAAAGTTTCTACCTCCTTCCAATAAAATCTTAATCTAGTCATCTTCATTACTCACTTTACTCAACATTCACATACACAATATATACATATTCCAACAATTATTAGTTAAACAGCGTTTTGAAGATAAATTATAAGTTTATGGGTAAATTAGATGTTTAATGCATCAGAATCACTAATTTATTATTTAGTAGGTATCGATTTGAAATAACTTTTTGAATACAAATGACTAATTAAAAAACAAACATGGGCTTATATGTTTCTATTTATTTTTCACTTTTTTTTTTGTTATTTTATTTTTCCCTCTAATGTGTACTTTGTAGCCCATTGTATACGAACAGCAGGACATCCACATTGACAAAATCCACTAGAACATTGATTTATGCACTAACTAAAAGATGTTTGTAATATTTAGTTGAATGTTCCATGTCATCATCTTTATCACATTGCATACAATAATATTAGTAATAATGGGTCTAGACATTTTCATCATGCATATGTTTTTTCTCCCCTTAAAAGCCCAGCATAACAGAAATTCAACTTGTGAGGTTTATTATCAACACAACTAGAATTAGAAAATAAATAAAAATAAAATATATAGCTTTCGAGATTAGTGAATTATTTTCTAGGCTGAATAGTTTTAAGAGGAAAGATCCAATCCTATCTGCTTCGACAACTCATATTCGGGTCTGAACCGTCATATGATTCGCATATACATCCATACTGATTAATAGAAAGTGGGTTAATATATTTCCGTGGGAGGTTCAATTTGGAAAAAAAAAAAATCCACCAATAATTTTACCATTTTATTTGACCATATTTTTTTCAATCATTAATTACATTTGTTCATGAAATCAAAAGAATTTGAGTCCGTTTTTTTTTCCCCTTCGGTCTTCAAAAGGATGATCATGATTGAGAGGTACAGCCTGACTCTGACTGCATCAAATGAAACAGAAAATAGTATAAACTGAAAATTGAAGGGTACATCAAGAGGATGATGGATTGGGCTCATATATAGTTAGTCTATCCATCTAAACAACAATCTGATTAGGCCCATATAATCAATTATTATAGGCCCAATATCTAACTGTGTCACATAGCCAATAGTCTTTCTATATGAGCGGGTTACGTTGATACCATTTGGAATTTTGGATACTAGACGAAAATATTTATTCCTTTCTCAGTAAAAGTATACTACTGTGTATCCCGTGCGCTGCACGGAGGGGTTTTTACTTAAAACCTTTTCTAAGATTTTATATTATACATAGTTATTTATGTTTAACATCTTATTATTATAAAAAAAGAAATACTAAATATGAAAAATTATATATTATTTATTTGAATATAATGAGTGTCCCAACCAAACTAATAACATCCAACATATGATATATGATAAAATTAATTATATGATCGTCATACTTTTTGAAAAAATATACATATATTTCTAATAAACATGTAAGATCCGCATTTAAATTTGTATTTTGATATGGGATGAAAAATGAATATGTACAAATAAAAAAGTACCAAGAACCTACATAAAATGAGATTCTTTATAAACTTTAAAATATTTTGTAGTTAAGCAAATATTAACAAACAAAATCATCAATTAAGTTGAACTTATCGAATATAAAATATAATTTATGATATCATTGACCATATTTACCCGTTGTATTTAAAGTTATCATTGACCATTTTTATGAATTAGGGTTTACAAAATATCTTTTTCAAAATAATAATTTTTTTTAATTTGAATTTGACTTTTTCATCCAACCGCCATTTTCCACAAGAATAAAAATAGTTTTTTGGAAAATTTTAGACCTGAAAATCAAATAAAATTAATTTAATAGTAATCGATTAATTTAATATTATTCAAAATTGTTTAATTCGGTCAACCCGATCTTAGTGCACGTTTCATTGAAACAATCGCTTACCAAAAAAAAAGGTAATCGCTTACAAAAAAAGGAAGTGAAATCTATCTATATAATATAAATCAGATTTGAAAAAAAAAAAAAAAATGAAATTTCATAATTAATTAACTTAAATTGATGTTATTCGATTTATATCAACTCCCTTCCAAAAAAAAAGGAAATATCCGATTCCTACCAAATCGATTAAAAAAAAAAAGGATTATGATATACGTCCAAATAAATTACAATTGAAATGTAGGCGGGATTATGAAAAAAAAAAAAAAAAAAACTTTACCGAATGTTTGAAAAAAAAAATCGGATTAAAAAAAATTAAAAGGAAAAAATTCAAAACGTGAAATTAAAATTAAAAACGTGAATTAAAATTAAAAAAATTAAAAATACAAAATTTACCAAATCTCAACCCATCAAAAAAAAAGGAAAATCGAGTGAAATAAAAATGTGAAAAAAAAAGGAAAAGCGAGTGAATTAAAAATGTACCAAATCGGATTTTAAAAAAAGGTAACAAATCTCATCTCATCCTAAAGAAAAGAAATTATAGCAAATTTAACAAAAAAACAACCAAATCTTATCCTAAAATAAAACAATCCGATTTCCATAAATCACATCCAAAATCAAATTAAGTTAGGCGGGATAAATGAAAAAAATTCAAAAAGAGTTTCCAAAACAGGTAATTTTCGAAAAATTTGAGAGGGAAAAAATGATGTTTAAGCGGGAAATGAAATATTTATTCAAACATTTTTCCTTCTCCATATTATATAGTAATAGATATTTTCATTCATCTCAATTATCCTCTCAAACATTTATAACATTATTTATCTATTAGACCATTTTACATTATTAAAATAAATAATTCTACCATTATTTTTTTTTTTCTCAAATGAAAATATATCAAATTTGACGTAGTTGTTCTAAATCTACTGGGACATTTCCAAAATATCTACAAGAAAAATGGGAAAAAAAAAGAAACATTTCTAAGATAAGAAATGATCAAATTTTGAACATAATTTTTCTTTTTATTATTAAAAATTTATCAAGTTCAAAAGAAAACAGTAAATATCAGCTTGGTTCTTTTAGAGAGTTATCCATGAAAAAAAAAATAACAATTAATGATTTATTGGTAAATTATTTGGGATTATTGGTAAATTATTTGGAATAGTAAATGAGTATGGGCATTACTATTCACTGTTCCTTTGGACTTTTTTGCCCTCCACTACTCTCTCTACTCTTTCCCTCTCGATTTTTTACGGCTCTTTTGACCGTCAAAAAAATTTCGAAAAAATACCATGACATCGCCGTTAGGACGCGCCAAAAGGCGTCCGGTCAGGCCGGTAAGACGCGCCAAAAGGCATCCTTCTTTGCCGATAGGACGCGTAAAAAAAAATTTAAAAATTATTTACAAAGTAAAAAAAAAAACATGGTCAATCTTCAATGTCTTGCCGATGTCATGATATTTTTTTTAGCATTTTTTCGAAATTTTTTTGACAGTCAAAAGAGCCGTAGAAAATTGAGAGGGAAAGTCTAGAGAGAGAGTAGTGAATGGCAAAAACGTAATTGGGTTGGAGGGCGATGACTTGTAATAGAGGGGCAATGAGTAGTAAATGAGGTATATTATATTAGAAATGCTATGGAACCAATGATTGGCTACTGTATGGAGCCAACCACCAATGTTATAGTGCCACGTAGGCCATGTGGAGTCAATTATTTTTTCACATGGCCTACATGGCACTGTAACATTGGTTATGGAGCTAACCATTGGTTCCATAGTATTATATATTATATTATTAGCCTTACAGTGCATGAATTGACGTCTTTGCACCCACACAAGAGCTCCCCATTTAACATGTCCGTGGCTTTAAACGTTCCCCCTCCTTCACTCCTCTGCATCATAATTCATATGTACCAAAAATCATCAATAAATTGCAATTAAAATAAAAAAAATAACCCAAAAAAAATAAGAAAAAGAAAAAAATAAAATTTCAAGAACTTTGACCTTATAAAAGTCAACGGCCACGAAATTAGCCCACCGGTTGCCGGCCGCTGCATAACATGTCTCGAGCATGTCGTCCAAGTTGCCGGAGTTCTGAACACAAGCCACAAGCTTAATCGGAATTGACCGGAAATAATTTACAAGCACCAAAGATCTACTCGTATCATTTAAAACTTTTGACTCGGCTCTATTGAANGATCATTAATTAGTTTATCAAAAGATATTTAAAAATATTTATATATTTTTGAAAATTTAAAAACAACATTAACATTTTAAGAAATATTATATGCGACCTACATTGACTTTCAACCATGTAATTCCATTGATAAGCAATCCCTTCACTAGTTTCCTTAGACTCTTTCGAAGTGAAAACGAGCAGCCTTTGATTTTTCGCGACCATGTCGTTAGCCAAAGGCCAATCGTGGCCGCCTTTAGGCATTCTCGATAAAGGGAACCAATACTTCATTAAGCCCGAGTCTTTAAAAACCTTAGTCAATCCGTATGGTGTTTCAACGTAGTCTTCCAAAATCAACGTCACAATTTCAGACGGGTTTCGGGACAAGAAAGCTTCGATTTCCCTAAATGTGTTGATAGCGGGTTTCTGTAAATATTACATGACAATGAATATATGAAGTTTGTGTTAATTAGTTCGAATATATAAGTTTAAGTTATAAATATATATGTATGTATGTACAAACTTCAAAAGCAAAGTCGTGACTCTAAATCAATGCTTATGTCATCAAGTAGTCAATGAGTAAAAGAAATTTGAGACTTAGAAGTACGATAAATTGTCGAATTGATAAAATCTTGGGAACAAAAACTCGTCTCAATATACAAAAAATGAAATTTTATACCCGAAAAAAATTATAATGAATATAAAGAACTACTTACAAATTTGGTGTAGTCATGGCATTTGCCTCCATAGGAATGGCACAACCATATGTCTCCTTCATAATCATATGTATCGAGCATTAAGCCACGAACGCCATTCTGTGTTCGACAATAGAGATCAAAATCGGTTAACAAAAATGTGAAATTATAGTGTTTTTAAAGGGGAAAATCAATTAAAACGAGATGAAAATCACGTACATTGAGTTGTTGAGAGATTGTGTCTTCTTGATTGGTGAAAGTAAGCCTCGGTTGCCCATCGTCAATGGCAAAAGCGTTGTGGGTTGTTAGAAAAGCGTATTTATTGAATGGTAGAGAATTGTTCTACACAAAAATTTACAAATAACTAATGAATTTGGAAATACCAATAAATAATTTCTTATTTTCAACCATTAACTATTCTTGGGTCATGTCAATTTACACATACATTGTAAAATATCACTTTAAATAATATAACAAAATACGACATTCAACAATAAATTATGCATATATTCTTTTAACAAATAATACAAGTCGACTTGCACAAATTCTTTGTATTAAAAATATGATGGGACAAGTTTTGGGAATAATAATTAATTAATAGCCAAAAAAACCTAATCTACACCTAAATTTTGTGCCCAATTTGATAATCGAAAAACCTAAACCGTATCAACTACACTAAATTGGCCAACAACCGCACATTTTCATCTTGGTACTTGATGTACTATGTCTTCCTATCTAGGCAAACAACTTTGAAAATCAAACAAAGCTACTCGATATTCAACTTTCAAGTATGTTCATTAAATGCTCGTTTGGATTGGGTTCGATAGAATTATCCAATAGACTTTAATACAATTTCTTGTTTTCCACAAACTACAAAGTTTTAGTACTCAAACTCGGTAGGATATATAAATACTAGAACATAAAAGATATATGTATAAACACAACTTCGACTCAATCAATCATGCTTAATTTGTTATTCGAACCTGACTGTTTGCAAACACAACCCGAAAGCTCGATCATGACTCACTCGTTTGCTTAATCGAACCAAGCTTGAACAACTAATTATGCAGCTTGCATTTATTAAACGAGTTGAGTTTAGCTCGTTCATCAACATTTCATTCTTTTATTTTTCTATTTTTTTATTGGTTTCGACCATGTTCAACGAACACACAAATCGTGATCGCGAATGACTCAATTTACAATTTTGAGATGTTTAAACGAGTCAAGTCGAGCCTAACGTGCATCGAAGCCAAGAAGGCTCGTTTTTAAAACAACCAAAAGCTCACATACAAATTGTTCGGCTAGACTCAACTTGAATCTAATCTAATAGTTATATTCATAGCATCTCATTGTGCATTTTAAGTGTGTGTACGTGTGTGTGAGAGAGAGAGAACTGACGAGTAAGGTGAACTGATTTGTGGCGGTTGATCTCACGCATCGGTTGCCGTCAAAATCCGTTTTACATGAAAAGCAATACAATCCCCGGCCGCAATCCGAATCAGTTGAACACTCATCTCCCACCTGTAGAATGACGCCGTTTAACCGCCGTCAAATTTCAATCCCCAAAATAAAATCAAATGTAACATTTAATTTATCCACAAAACATAGAACAATTAAATTCGTTAATAATAATAATAATAATAAATGATATATATGTATACACTCAGACCTTACAGGCTCCATTAGAGCACGCGGCCTCAAGCAGCCTCGACACCAACAGAACTGCAAATACTGAAGTAAGTACTTTTCCCAATCCCATGGCCGTGGGAATATTTTAATCAATTTTTCTTTCNAAATGAGTTCCAAAATTTGCAACAAGTGGATATGTTTTGAAGAATTTATATTGTTAATTTTTTATTTTTTTATTTTTGTAACCGAATGATTTTGTTTGTGGATGGTAAATATATAAAATACGTGATTTGGTGTGGCATGTGGAACAACAAAAGACGTAATAATGTACTTGATCTTATGGTCTGTGCAAATTGTCCTAAAATTTAAATTGCATTAATTGGAGTACTCAAAAGTTTGGTATGCAATCAAGTGTAGATAATAATTTGAAAAAATGCTAAAAATTTGGTGTATTGTACATTTTAAACAGTCCAGTTTTGGGAATATTGACTCTTGAGTTTCATTAGGAACAGACCATAACTTAAACACAAATTTTGTATCCGAAAACTTACTTAAAATGTGTTTTATTAAAAAATCATATCTATACTTATATAAAAGGAGATTCTATTTATTACATTTATTATCCAGAAAAGTCAACTGCATTAAATGTCATTACTATTATGGTATTATAATATTTTATTTATTTAATTAATTTATTTATTTGTTTTATTTTAAAAAGATAAGTATAAGATAAAGATTTTAATAATAAAAAAATCAAATACCAAATAAAAATGTACACTTTGACTTATTTGATTATATTTGGTATTTGATTATACCAAATATATTCTTATTTAGTATATGCATTAAATATTTACTAAAGTATTATTTATTTTATTTGTCAAAGTTAAGTATAGATTTGTTTATATTATCAAATCATAAAAAAATATTAAATCCATATTATAAAAAAATCATATAATTTTATAACAATTCTATTACACTATTTAACAATATTTCTTTTTTATTATATAATAAAATAATAATTAAATGTTATATGGTGAACAACAATAAGTAAAACTGTTACTTTCTCTTATATCCAGGGATAAATTTATATGCTAAAATAAAAATTTTATTAGTATAAATATTTTAGTGAGATAATATAATAATTATTTTACAAGATGTAGACTTAAACGTTGATTTGTAGACTTATAATAATTAAATATTATATGGTGAACAACAATAAATAAAACTGTTACTTTCTCTCATATTTAATGTTTTAAAAGATGTAGAAAAAAACTTATAATAACTCTATTGTTTTGTAGACTTAAACGTTGATTAAAAGAGGTAAAAATTCCTAATTTTTTAGACTTAAAAGTTGATTAACACCATAGATTGAGAGTCTATATTTAGTAAAATTTCTAATTGTAATAAAAAAATTAATTTTTGTTATATTTTAAAATATCTTTAAAATCATTATAAAAAAAAAAAAACTACAATGAAAAAAGCAAGTCAACTATATATCGATTTGTTCAAATCACATTCACAATTTGGCTACAAGGAAAGGAAACTCATTGATTAAAATATTATTTTGTCAGTAGTCTTAATGTACAAGAGACTTTAAGACTCCACTTGAATATTATAAAACTTGAACATTGTACAATTTTCTTGCGTATTATAAACTTTTATTGAATATTGCATCTTATAATATAATATTCTCCAAATAAATATATCTCGTGCTTCGCACGCACGTACTATATATATCCCGTACATTTTTCTTTATTCATGTATATAATTATAAGCTTGGATAAATACCGGTGCATCGCACGGCTCTGTACTAGTAGCACTAAAAATCGTCATAAGGATCTTACAAGTCCAATTAGCCCCGATCACACCTATCTACATTCTATGATGGCATTAAACCAACACTCATCAATCATCATTACTCTAAATCTCGTCGTGGACTTGATGATGTGTAATTGCCAAAAACAAATCTTACACAAAATGACAAAAGGATGAATGGATATAAAATATAAGAGGAAATATACTAAATATATCGCTTTTATAAGAATGAATTAACGAAGTTGCTCTTCAAAATTCATAACCAATGTTGTCAAATTAGGATATATTTCTTTTTTTACGCACTAATTTACTGTTGCATCTCGTAGTCGTGATAGAGTAAGGAAAAAACTTTCACTGCGCGTTTGATGTTCCAACTTATTCATTTTGTATTGATAATTTCACTTTCGATCCCACACGAGGCGCTCGAGAACCCGTCTTTCTTGGCCGTGTTGTTGACGAGTTGGTTCATAACACAGTCCACGCTTACGGTGTAGTTGTCCCCTTTGGCGTAGGTGTCGGGGTCTTTGATGCAGACCGCGTGGGATAGGGAGCCGTTGGAGGTGGCGAGAGCCGTCGGGAGGAGGATGACAAGGAAAGCCACGGCCGAGCAGCAACTCATGTTGGCTTTT